CTCTCGGCCGGGGAACTGCCGGCGGCCGCCGCGCGCTTCTTACTTATAACTTCTCGCTCGCTCGCTCCCCGCCTCCTCCCCGTGGCGCGCGGGGCTCCGCCGCCAGGCCCCGCCCCCTGCCTTTCTTCTCCCCGCCTCCCGCAGCCCCCCCCAGCGCGTTGCCATGGCAGCTAAATAAACAAACTCCGCGCACGTGGGGGCGGGGGCGAGGGAGGGGCACGGGCGGGGCGGGGCCGGGCCGTGACGCCAGCCAGGCAGCTGGCGGGCTGGAGCCGTGCTGACGCCGGCGGCGGTGGCGGCGACGACGGCTTCGGCGCTGGGATCCCGGCGTGGCTCCCGTGGCCGCGCGACTTAGGGTCCTCTGCGCGGCCACGGTCGGTTCCCTGGACTCGAAAGCCCTGCCACGGGAACCCTGACAGGGACGGGGTTCGGGGACGAAGGCGGCGGCGCGCCCCTACTCCTGCTCGCGGTTGCGCTTGTTGAGTCGTCTGCGCACCCAAGAGCGCGATTATCCGCGTGACTCATCCAGCCCGCCCTCCCTTGCATACGCACGCAGAGGCCGGGCTGTGTCGGCGCTGGGCCTGGCCTGGCGCGGGTGCCCGTGGGGCCTTCTGCAGGGTGGGGGTAAGGGCCGGGTGATGGGGGGCTAGGAGTTTCAGAAGCTCCGAGGAGGGTACCGCGTCTGCTATGGCGGAAAAAGGCCGGGATCGGGCACGTAGTTACAGTTTTGACACTGGAAGGGGCAAGGAAGGGAGTGAAAGGATTCCAGATTTGCTTGCCCGGAGTGGGAGCGCGGGGAGGAATCGAGGCACGGAGATACCTTTCACCAGGGATCTCAAAGCTCTTTACAAGCTACGCACTCGCACTCTCAGTTTGAAGATGAGAAAAGTGAGTCATAAAGACGTGAAGCGGCGAGGTAAAGGTCATAGGACAACTCGCTCCCTGTAGTTTAGGTTCCGAGCTGGCCAGCCCACTCAAAGGGACTTCGCTGGGAGGTGACCGTGCGCTGGGAAACGGAGCACTGCGGTGGGACCTGGGTCTCCAAAAAGGACACCCCAGGTCCCTCACCGGGAGGGGAAAAGGTCTTTATTTCAGTCTTGTAACTCCTCTTCCCATCCTCACTACCGTCTTAGTGCGTGATCAGTAATTTTCCAGCCGGGAAATGTTTTCGCCCTCATCTCTACAAACAGTACTTAACACACTAACACACACACACACACACACACACACACACAAACCCAAAACGTGTGGTGTGCAGTATCACTGGCTACCGTAGACTAGGTGTTTACTTTGGATTGGGGAGCGCGGAGTGGGCTCCGCCGCCCTCACGGTTGAATCCCCTCACTCCTGGCAGAGTCGGCTGAGGGCGCGGAGTGGGCTCCGCCGCCCTCACGGTTGAATCCCCTCACTCCTGGCCGAGTCAGCTGAGGGCGGGGGTTCGGTTCGGGTAGTGACTGAAGGAAGAAAGGGACTCAGGACAGGCAGCGTGTGCACTCGCTCCTCTCGTGCGTGCCACGTCCTCTCTCGTTTCACCTGCTGGAGTCCCGGAATCCTGGGACCTGTTTTAGTTTTCTTCGGAATATTTGTCATCCTGAATTTTCCGCTTCTGGCCGACCACAGAAGCGTTCTTGGAATGCATCTCGTCCCAATGAAATGAGGCTGCCCAGTCTGTAAAAGGGAGATTCAAGTTGGGCGCCTTTGAGGAGCGACTCTCCATTCTTTCTCTTGGTTTTGGCAGAGGGCTGATGGGAGGGCTTTCCGGATGGGGGTGGGGGTGGGGAAGAGCACCAACCAGACTTCGCCTGGAAAAGGAGCGAAGTCTCATGTGACCTCGAGGGGTTCAACCCCACTCCCAGGGGACTAGGCCAGTTTGACTCTGAACACATTACTTTTTCCAACAAAAGAACAACAACAAAAAGAACACCTGTTCCCACCCCCCACCGTCATTGTGATGGCAAGAACGACGTGGAACGCTAGGACTGAGCATGGAAAGTGAGCCAATTTAAAGCCAAGGTCCCAAACCCTTGATGAACTTGGAGAAGCCTCTGCCTGACGGCTGCCACCCTTAGGATGTAAACACGTCAGCCAGGGCTTGGAATTTACGACTTGGGTAGTCAAGTCCATGTTCTAGGTGGTTTCAGCTCCGTTTTTATTTACCTAGGACAGTAGCCCTTCCCCCTCTGAAGCCCTCACCAGTAACCACCACAATGAAAAAACATTTCACAGATGAATTGGAAAGCCACTATTATTATGTCATATAATCAAGGCAAGACTCTGAAACTCATCTGAAAAAGATGAAGTTTCCCAACAGCTTTCTGGAGGATAAAAGCCAGCAAGGCAACTCTTGGGTTATTCTGGTGATTGCATCATAGGAGGAAATCTGTATATTCATCCCAGATTTCTGAAAGAGCTATGAAGTTCCAGCTGAGAACTCACCTCCTTTCAAGGCAGGTGCCGGGTGTGACAGCAGGGTTATGACCCTCCCTCTCTTCAAAACAGGTAGGGCCAGAAGAGTTAAATCCCTGCCCTATATAATTTATAAACATGAGGCTGTGTAAACCTTTGATGACTAAATTGCACTCTAAAATAATAATAATAGAAGACACCCTTTAAAGAAGAATTAAATACTGGTGACTTTATTTCAGCAAACTCATATTACAAGTTTTGTGGTATGGAAGTTAATTATTGATGTCCTTGGAGCTTTAAAATAATTTTTTTTTCCAGCACAGACTGCGGTAGTTGGCAGACGAGGTGATGGGAATGGCCAGTGCTGGGGGATGAATGCCCAGCTGCAGAGTAGTGTGAGAGGTGGAGATGAGTGTGTGGGTGTTTCAGGTACTCCAAACCATAGCAGGGCACAGGTCTCGGCACATGGAGTCCCCGGGCACCTGTACCCTGGCTGAGTTTTCTGCACATAGGTGCCAACAGGACTCAGGGTATTTTTTTTTAAAACTGTTGGACAGAGTCTCAGTGTTGCCCAGTCTGGTCTGGAACTTACTATACTGCCCAGTCAGGCCTTGAACTCACTACAGTCTTGCCTCCTCCGCCTCAGGAGTGCTGGGCTTCTAAGCACCAGTCACCAGGCCAGGCAAACCTGCTTTTTTGTTGTTTATTTTGTTGTGTTTTGTTTTTGGTACTGGGAGTTGAATACTGGGCCTCATGTGAGCAGGGTGAGCACTCTGCCACCGAGCTGGATCCCTGGGTTAATAGCTGTTTGTTCTTAAAGGCAAAAGGAAGGGGTGGCTTTCAGGGCCCAAGTGACTGCTGTCAAATCCCAACTGTGAGGACTTGAACCCTTGAAAGGTCTTTTTCAGTTTCTGCGCCTGTCTTGTCAACTGCCTACATTTACGTGTCACCATCGGATTGTTTTTGAGACTTGGTCTTGCCATGGTTCCCAGGCTGGCCTTGAACTTCCGGGATCGAGCATTCCTCCTCCCTGAAGCTCTGGAGTGTCCGGAATTGCAGGCATGTACCACCAAGCCCATCATGCTTGGCGTGACCTTCAGACTTCTACAGAGGTTAAGAAAGTGGGTTTCAAAAGTTGGGCATGACGGTACATGCTTGTAATCCTGTATTGGAAGGCTGAGGCAGGAGTATCTAAAATTCAAGCCCAGACTGACTTTCACAGTTAAATGTTGTCTGTGTGTGTGTGTGTGTGTGTGTGTGTGTGTGTGTGTGTGTGTGTAGAGGGGATGGTTTTAACACTACATTTTCTAATTTAACTTTGCTGGTTTGTAGCTTGGCAAGTGACCTCACTTTGCCCGTTCCCTTTTTTTTTTTATTAAGAGATTTTCTATTCATTTTATATAACAACCACAGATTCCCCTGTCCTCCCTCCTCCTGCCCCCCAGCATTCTCTCCCAACCCACTCCTCTTTTCTGCCTCTTCCAAGGCAAGGTCTCCCATGGGGAGTCAGCACAGCCTGGTACATTTTTATAAAATGGGGATATTAATAGCAGCCACTTCTTAGAGTAATAAGGATTTAATTAGATCATCTAAAGAAGTGAGCTCAAGTCTTGACACTCAGGACTTAATAGGTTTTAATATTACCAGTTTTTTCCAGGCACCATTCATTTCAGATAGATGGGGACCATTGTTTTATCCACTGCTGTATGTCCAGTTGCTCATTTAGTACCTGCCTAACACATGGTTGTGCTCTGAGTATTGCTGAATGAATGAGTCATGCACTTTCCCGTTGTGAACAGTCTATTAACAGGAAAGCTGGTCTTTCAGTTCTCAACTACAGGCTCATTAGCCATCCCCCTTCAAAATCAGTCTGCTCAGACTCTTACAACTTCTGTCTTTCCCAGTTGCCTGTGGTGAAACCTGGATTTCCTTCAAGTTTTTGCTCACCTTGTCCTAAGCACGCAGGCATTCACAGAGATTGGCAAATTAGATTCCTAATTTGCTCCGCTGCTTTCCAGCTTCCTGGCTACCTTGGTTCAGCTTTTAGTCATGGCTCCAGGTTGGCCCCCTTTTCCTTTTTGAGTCATGGGTGTTATGTATGTATCCCAGGCTGGCATTCTGGAACTTTCTAGGTAGCAGAGATAGAAAAGGGTGACCTTGGACTTCTGACTTACCTACTGACACCTGAGTGCAGGGATTATAGGGGTACACCACTAGACTGCTTTATGCTTATTTGGTGCTAATAATAGAACCCAGGGCTTCATGTGTAGTAGGTAAGCACTCTACTAATTGAGCTACGACCCAACCCCTGTCAACAGACATCTTTGCCTAGAGAAGCAAGACCTAACTGCTTAACCCTGGCTAGACCAAACGCTTCCTACTCTGGCCCTAGAAAAACTTTCTAGAATCCTCTCTAGAGACTAGACCAAGATCCTTAAAGTCTCAACTCTCAACCCATGAATCTGTGATGTCCATTTATTTTTTATCAGCTGCTTTTCCTGTCTGGAATATCCTCAGTGCTGGACTCTAATCCTAGTCACAACCCAAAATTGTTATTTAAAAAATGATTTCATCCATTTCTTTTCCATATTACTTAATTCATCCACTTTACTTTTTATTATTTATTTGTTTATTGTGTGTGGTACACACAGAGAACCCAGAGGAAAACTTTCCAGTGTTGGCTCTTTCCGTCTAGCATTTAGGTCTCAGGGATTGACCTCAGGGTGCCTGACTTGGAGGCTAGCCCTTTGCACGCTGAGCCATCACTGGTCTCCAGTTCTCATCTTATTCATACCTTTCTCTAAGTCCAGTGTTGTAAGGGTGGGACTTAATTTTTCATCCCTTTTATTCCTCCACCCACTTTTTTTCCTTTTGTAAAGTTCTGTGGCTGAGAAAGAAAAATTAAAATCCTTGACTCTGTTTTCCCAAAGCAGCTGGCCGAGGCGAGTGAGCAGCCGGGGCCCAGCCATTGTACTAAAGCAAACTTGAAAACACAAACAGAAATAACCAAAACCCAAACCAAAACCAAATGGAGAGAGTCGACTCTCTTCTGTAGCCAAATTCATTGCCTTTCAAAACCCAGAACTTTGGATATTGAAGTTTTTAGAGCAGAAAATGAATCACAGACATTTAAGAATCAATTCTCAGAAATTTAATTAAAATCTCTTTCGTGAACTCTTAGATTTGATCACTTAAGTTGCATTCTTAGTACACATGCACACACACACACACACACACACACACACACACACACACACACACATGCAAGGTCCAGTACATCCTTTAAGCTATTTACAGAAGAAATCTAAAATTAATAAGATTACCAATTATTTTTAAGACGTTTGATGTTTTGTTTTGTTCTTGATGCAAGTTCTTATTCTGGAGCCCAGGCTGCCCTCCAACTCATGGCAATCCTCCTGCCTCAGCCTGGATGACAGTGCTGAGATTACAGGTGGAGTTACTATGTCCTACTTTAGTTTCTTATTTTTTCCGTATTCAGATCTTTGAGATAGAGTCTCACTATGAAGCCCTGGCTGGCCTGGAACTCAGTAGGTAGACCAGTCTGGCCCCAAACTTACCATGGTCCTCCTGCCTCTCTTCCCAGTTTTGATAATGTAGGTCTGTCTTACTGTGCCTGGCTAGGTTTCTTATTGTCAACAAAGAAGAAAATATCTTTTAAGAGTAATATATTGCAATAAAAGTTCTCTTAAGAAATTAAGGGCTCTTGTAAGCCATTATTAACCATATGATTTCTTTATAAGCACACAAGAAGAATCCCACTGGATACAATATTCATTTGTAACATTTAAAAGTTGATGAGCTGAACAGGTATAGTGGTACAAGCCTGGAATCCCAACACTTAGGAGATGGAGGCAGGAGGATCAGGAATTCAAAGTCCTCAGTGACAGGAACCTATTTGCAGAAAACAAAAGACTAAAGAGAAAAATGAGTTGGACACGTGTGTGTGTGTGTGTGTGTGTGTGTGTGTGTGTGTGTGTGTGTGTATGTGTGCGGCCCTAAGAAGATTAAAAAGAAAGTTGGAATTTATCCTTCCCCCAGTCCACCAATAGGGGAGAACTGACCTACTGTCCAAGAGTTTACTTTTTACAGGTGAGAGCTTTGGTACTTGGATTATTTGCTGGGGACACTCACCTTTCTGAGGAACACACAGTTTCCTGCTGTCTATCATATTGGAGCTATTTTTTTTTTTGCATTAGGCAAAGTGTAGGATTTAGGAATGAGCTGACAATGAATGCTTCACACCCTGAGAAATGCAAACAAGAACCAAGCCACTCTGTGTTTAATTTTCTTCTCAGTTTGTGGGCCAGAGGATAGGTTCTTTTTGCCAATATGGCTTTATGTCCTCTGAGCCAGGGAAATGAATTTTTTTTAAATTAACAATGCATTTGATTGCTCCGGTTGTTCTTTTCTTTCTGTGTTTGTTAATCAATTTTAATGTCCTGGCTTGTGGGAAGAGTGCTAGAAAGATGTCTAGAGCCAATGTTCAGAAAGGAGAAACGGAAGGCCAAGAGAACTTTCTAGCAGTGCTTTTGAATGCTGTTTTATTTGATGCATGTGAGTCAATAACTCGAATCTAAATGCATAGATATGTATATGTATATCTATACATATATGTATATATGTGTGTACATATATATATATATATACATATGTATATATACATATACATATCAGGAAAGACCAGAATCATCTTTGAAGAGGAAGCCCCTGGCATTGGTACCTAATCTTGAGAAATTACCAACATCATGGTAGATATTCAAGGAGGTAATCCATTCAGAGTGAACTCAGTCTATGGAGTCCGTTACTGATGCATTTTTCTGGTTGCTAAATTTAACAGGGTTCTCAGCCAAGCCAAGCGTTGTGGGAAACATTTAAATGTTGAATTCACTGTTCAGATGTTTCATTCAGCAAGCTCAGTGTTTTGTTAGAACAGAAACTTATTTGGGTGCCTTTCAAGACAAAACAGTATCTTTGATTTATCCAAGTGCAGGTTATCGTATCTTGAATTTGATTCTTTGAACCATTTTGCTGTAACTTATTGGGGGGGGCACTTGTCAGAGTTCACTGGACTATGGAATATGGAAGAATGGTAGAAAGTGAAAGCATGCCAAGATGGCTGGGGAAATCCATGGTTCTTCATAAATCCACCCAAGGATTTAGCCTGAAACCTTGATGACCTTTAGCACTCTGACCACATAGTAGCAGTACATTTAACTGTGAGATAGGTCATGAATATATATCTGCTTCACCGGCTGCTGTGAACATTAAGTGAAATATCAGACATGAAAGGTGCCGTTAATATTACTTTTGCCCCTCAATTGATGAGACTTGACACAGTTAATTCCTTCTGCAGTACCCAACATTGGGCCATGATGCACTGTTTTGGTTCAAATATTGGAATGCCTTGTCTCCCAGTTGTGGTCCTCTGGTCAGCATCACTGCAGATGATGCAGCCATCTAGGACCAGGTTGGCCTAAATTTCACAGAAGCTTTTTTAAGTGGGGCCAGTTGCAAACTGAGATTCATACTAAGTGGGTTGGTTTCACAACTGGCGAAGGCCTGTGCTTTTCTTTGTTTTTGTTTTGCTAGATCCAGAAGTTAGTGACATTGAGCTATACACGCTAAGAGCTAGCTAGACATATCGGTACACTTCTGTAATCCCAGAACTCCAGAGGTGGAGGCAAGAGGATCAAGAGTTCAGGGTCATCTGCTAAATAGCAAGTGGAGGCCTGCCTAGGAGGACAGGCCTGAGGGAGGGGGTGCTGGGGCTATGGCTCAGTTGAAGAACACTGATATCCAAGGATGTATGTATCCCAGGATGACCTTGAACTAGCATGTATCCAAGGATGACCTCGAACTCCTGATTTTCCTGCTTCTACCTCCCAGGTGCTGAGATCCCAGATGTACACCGCTGTGCCTAGTTCTAAATATATTTGTGTGAAGATCTCACTAAATTGCCCAGGCTGGCACTGAACTCATTCTGTTGCTCTGGCAGGCTTTGAACATTTTATCCTCTAGTCTGAAATTCTCAAGTAGGTGCCAGCCTGGGCAAGTTGACTTACATAGGTTTTTTTTTTTTTATTTTATTTTTTTATTTTATTTTATTTTATTTTTTTCAGTGCTGGAATTGAACCCAGGCCCTTACACTTGATAGGCGAGCACTCCACCCCTGAGCTTGCCCCTTATCCCTTGATATAAGGTTTTCAATCAATAGTTTCGTTTTCATCCCCCACCTGCTTCTCACTTTCCAAGTTGCTGACCACTGTTCCACAGGAGCCCTCCAGGGGTCCCTGACTCAGTCTCTTCCTTTCCAGCTTTCTCTGACTTAAGTCTGTGCTCATCCCTCCGTCGGTACAGCTCCCTCTTCCTCTGGCAGGGCTGGCTTGTCCTTGGATTCCTTCCTAGTCATGTTCAGAGGGATCCAGAATGTCAGAAAACATTTATGGATTAGACCAGCTTAGCGAAAGTCCTTTGCTTCTTTTAGCATTTAAGGGTAATTTGTGTGTGTGTGTGTGTGTGTGTGTGTGTGTGTGTGTGTGTGTGTGTGTGTGTGTGTGTCTTATTTGAAAAAGTAATGCCTGGTAATTTTTGTTTCTTAAAAAAAAAAATCAATCAACGCATGTGTGTTTTAATCAAAATTCCCACCTATCACCTATCCAGATATGGCCATACTGAATAGCTTCTATGTAAATTTTCAGAGTTCCTGTATCAGTATGTATATGGAAATTGTTACATTTTTTTTTGAAACAGGGCATTCCTACATAGCCCAGGCTGGCCTGGAACTCAGTATTTAGCTCAGGCTGGTGTCAAAGTCAGGATCTTTTGTCTCACCCTCCTGAGTTACAGGGATTATAGTGATTTTTGAGACAGGGTCTTACTATGTACCCCCAAGATGGCTTTGAACTTGCACAAACCCTCCTGCCAATGCTTACAAAGTGCTGAGATTACTGGCACACCTCGCCACACTTCTCCGAGCCCAAATCTGGCTTCTCTTCTTTCTTTATCCCTCTCTCCTTCAGCCTTTCCTCCTTCCTGCCAGGGATTGATCTGCTCACGACTGGCAAGTGCTCTCTCACCCACCACCTCCCCTGCCCCATCCATTAGTTTGTTTGTGTGCTGCCCAGGACTACATGTTATGATATCGCTCTGTATCGTGGTTTAAATCTGAATTGTCAGCAACAGATCAAAGTTTCGAGTCCTTGGTTCCCAGCTTATGACATTGTTTTGGAGGCTCTGGCTGGCAGAGATGGGTCGTTAGGGGTGGGCCTGCGCACATTGCACCGTCTTCTGGCTGAGCCCCTGCCAGACCTTGGCCGTGTGAGTAGCCATCAGCACAAGCTCCTCGAACCCTGGACTGGGCTGCCGCCTCACCTTCCCACTGTGGAGGACAGAAATCTCGGAAACCGTGATCCCAAATCAACCTTTCCTTCCTTACGTTATGTCTGCCTGGCAGTTTGGTCCCAGCCACACACATCTGCCAGCATCTGCACAGATAAGCATTCAGGTTACTCACACCTTTATGACAGTAAGCTTGGACTTCTTCTCCAGCCCTGGAAAAGGTACCAAGTTAGAATGGAACTGGAGTACCCCTGTGCTAGCCCATACAAACAGAATCAGGGGCCTGGTGAGCAGAGGGTACCCGCTCTTTGCTGGCAAGGCTGGCATGAGAAAGCCGGTGTCTCAACTCTTGTCCGAGCTCAGGCATCAGACAGCATTGATGGAGGAGGCTGTGGCACGTGCTTCTGTGAGCCCCCTTCCCTCCTGCATCAGCACATGGGCAAGCAAGCCTTCCCCGGGGGGCCTTCTCAGAGCCTGAATCTGCCTAGGCAGTTGGCATTCATCATACCCCCAACAACCCCGCACAGTGGATATTATCCAAGTTTGCAGAAGAAGTGGGGAAACTGGAAATGGAATATCAGTCATTTCCAGTTCATCCTGAGACAAATCCAGCATTGGGAGGTTCGCACACCCACGGACTGTGCAGCTTAGAGTCTGGGCAGGGAGAGTCTCATGGGTCCGACTAGTCTCCCCTCCTCAGGTAAGGGACAGATTTCCTGGGAGCATCAAAGACATTCTGAGGACCCCCTCTCCCACCTGTACCCTAGTTCAGTCATAAGAATCAGCATAAGCAACATGTCATGACTGTGTGCTGTTGACTCGGGATCTTGGTTTCTCAGGCGAGGGCTCCAGCTGAACGTAGTCCTCGGCTGGCTGAGCCCCTGTTCTGGAATGTCTGAGCTGTCCAGCATGGCCAGTGTGTAAATGTCAAGTAAACATCAAATTCAAGTGCAATCTAACCATTGTCCTGGAACTGTTTGCTTTAGATATAATAGTTAGCAGGAAGAGGAGAAGGAGAGGCAGGGAGAAAATGTCACTCCGTAAAGCAAAACATGAACACGGTGGACCCTCCCTCTGCCAACGTGTTGAAAAGACCATCAAATAAATAAAAAGCCAGCACTCTGCGCTGCAAAACTGTGTTTCTTAGCTTGTAAAAAAAAATTAGATGAGGGAACATTTTCCAGTCAATCACACTGCAGCAAGTCATCCTGTTGAATTTGTGACTCACAGGCTCACAGTGTCAATAGACAGCCCAGCAAGCCCAGCGTCATGACTTCACTGGGGGATGAAGCAGAAGTGGGCATGAGGCAGAGCCAGCCTTGAACAGGCTCCGAGCTCTAACATGAAATAGCCAAGGAAACACCGAACGCCCGGTAATCACATCTATTGTTCCTGTTTGTTTCTTGCTTGTCTCCTAGGAAAGAACTAATTTAAATTTGACTTCATCCTTTTCTGCCTTAAACATAGAGGCTGTGGGCCTTACCCAGGCTACAACTGATGGAGTGTCTCATTTTCCTGTGCTCTGTACATGAAGTCCATTTCTTTTATCCTCATAGCAATCCTAGGAAGTAGAAATGTGTGTATCATTTTCTTTTACTTTGTTATCATTGTTGTTGTTATGATTTTATTTTTTTGAGACAAAGTCTCATGTAGCCCAGGCTGGCCTTAAACTCAATATGTAGCCCAGGATGACCTTGAACTTCTGATCTTCTTGCCTCTACCTCTTGAGTGCTAGGATTGTACAGGTGTGCACAGCCTGTAACTCATTTATGTGATGCTGGGAATAGAACTCAGGGCCTTGTGCCTGTACCGGGCAAGTACTCTACCAACTAAGCCACAACTCAAAGCCTTAATTTTATGTTTCTGTAGTGCTAAGAATTGAACCTAGGGCCTCATGTCTTCTAGGTTAGTGCCCTATTATTGAATGATGTCCCTAGCCTTTTGTGTTATTTTATAGGTAAGAATATTGAGGCCAATTATAGGCTAAGTAACTTTGCAAGCTTCTGACTAATGATTTTTAACCCATCCATCTCTGGCTTCAATATCTACTGTGTGATCTTGTTGTTTGCCTTTTATATTTTAATATTGACTCTCATAGAGCCCAGCTTGGTCTTGAACTCTTGATCCTCTTACCTCTACCTCCTGAGTGCTGGGATCATAAGTGTATGCCACCAAGCCCAGCTTTCTGTATGACTTCAGCCTCTCATTTTGCTGACCTACTGTGAGCCAAAACACTGGCTTGGGTACTGGGGTTTCCCAAATGAATAAGACATACTTCCTGCCTTCAAGCAGCTCATGGACCAGCCAAAATGCTCTTGGAATTTAAGATAGCTGTGCCACGATTGCATTAGGTTGCAGGAAAGCCAGTTCAGACGAAAGGAAAAAATAGTACCAGGAGACCAGCTGCTCATTTGCAGATGTCTCAGGAATGCCTGTGGGGATAGAAAAACCACAGAGAGATAATAGACCATGGACCAGTGTATAGGGGGCAGAAACCACTGACCTGAAAACAAAGCTTCAGTCACTCAGCTGCTGGATGTCCTGGGAAGCAGGGAGAAGCTTAATGTTGGCTTTTGTCCCACAGAGCGGCTATGTGCAGGGCTGGGGCCTGGCTGCTGAGCGGGAAGGCCTGGACTCTCGTCTGGACCTGGCTGCTTCACATGAGCTTGGGTCAGTCCTCTGATCAGCTGGCACCGTGGAAGAGGGAGATGGAGCAAAGCTCGAGATGGTGTGGATGAATAGATGAGTTCTTGACCACTGGTCTGGCTGGCCCCAGCCGAGGCATTCCCAAGGTAAGAAATGAAGAGTGGTAGACATGCTGACTCTCAGGATTGCAGCACGCGGTCACCTTCCTCCTCCTCTCCAGGGTCTCACTATGCAGGCCAGGTTGAAATCCTCCTTCCTTAGCTTCTCAAGCCCTTGGACTTAAAGCATGTGCCATGCTCTGGGGCTTTCTGAGATAGGCAGGTCTCAAACTATTTTAAGAATGACCTTGATTTTTGATCCCTTTGCCTGCACCCCTCGAGTGCTGTGATTGCAGACATGTAGAACCATGCCTGGTTTGTGAGCTGCCAGGGGGAGAACCCAGGGCTCTATGTAGGTGAGGTAGACACTGTACCAGCTGAGCTAGAGCCCCAGCCTGCCTTAACTCTCTTTGCAACTGTGCTGAAGAGCAAGGCAGAGAGTATCTTTGAGACTGACCCGGTAGCTTGACCTGCAAACCCAGCTTGCGGGAGGCTGAGGCAGGAAGACCACCCTGAGTTTGAGGCTAGCCTGCCATGGAGTGAGACCTCATCTTAGATACAAGACAACAGAGAAAGACCAAACGGAAATCTGTGTGTGATCGTTTTAAAAACCCGGCTGTCTGCCTGGACAAACCCAGTGTGGAGTGGCTTTGCCTTCATTTAATGTAACATTGCTCCTTTGATCTTCCTTTCCATGGTCTCTGCGTGCTCCAGATTCTGAGAAGTTGTCAGTGTGTGTGACATCACAGTCGTCCCAGTTCCCTCAGAGGTTTGCTCCCCTGGCTGGGAAGTTTCTTGAAAGGACAGGGTCAACTCTCTCCTTGAGTATAGTTTAAAAAAATTATTTTGGCTGGGTATTGCTGATCAAACCTTTACCAGGTCTTGAAAGTAAGGGTGCTCCATTTACCATTCTGAATTCTCCCCCTGCTTATTGGCAAACCTTGCATTTCCATTGTAATATGCCTGAAAAAACAAACAGGAGATTTTACAGCCGTCTTTGTGCCAAGCATCCACCCCCTGAATGAACTATACAAGAATCTAAGAGCTAAGAGGCTGACTGCACATGGGTCTATAAAACAAATCGATTCCCTCATTTATGAAATTGGTTTAGGGACCACCATCCATGTGTGTGGCCTGAACTGGACATTGAGAAGAAATATCAGCATAAATGAGGATGCAGTCCTAACCTACAGGGAGCTGAAAGTAGTCAAATAATCATAAAAACGCAAACAAACTGTAATAAAATAACTGCTGGTTTTGAGGATGCAGTGTTACACATCTTTCTGTTAGTGTATCAAAATACAATAACCAAGAAGACAAAAGCCATGTTTGAGCTGTGGATTTAGAGGTCTGAGTTCATGCTGATTTGGCCCATTTGTTCTTGGGTCTGTTGAGGCAGCATGCCATGGAAGAAACAGTGGGAGAAGTTGCTCACCTCATGGAAGCAAAGAGACAGAGGGAAAGAGGAAAGGTTAGGCACAGCTATCCCCGAAAAGTCATGTTCCAGTGGCCTTAGATGTCTTTTTTTTTTTTTTGAGTTAAGTCCAGGTTAGCCTCAAAATCATTATGTAGCTCAGGTTGCCCACAAGTGTACTATCTCAGCCTCCACGTACTGAGATTATAGGCTTGAGCCACCACATCTCAAATAGATCAAAGGAACTGGCCGAGGCACAGCACTATATTTCCAGCTCCGAGTCTGTGGTTTTCTCATTTGTCTAGTCCCAAAGTCTTGGATTTTCTGTTTGCTTCCCATTCATCTATCAGACAACTGCTGAATGCCTATAGAAGGAACTCTGCTATATGGTGAGAAGTCCAGAGCAGAAGATGAATGATATAAGTTGTGTTGTCAAGAAGTGGAGTCTACACAGGGATCTGCAAAAGAGAAGTGCTTTGAGAGTCCATCTCACTCCACGCACAATGGCTATTGTCAAGAAGATATGGACCATGAATGCTGGGGAAGATATGGGGAAAGAAGAACTCTTATTTGTTGCTGGTAGGAATGCAAAGTTGAGCAGCCACTATGGAACTCAGCATGGATGGGCCTCAAAAATGGAAACCAGAATGATCATATTCCCAAGCTATTTGGGTTAATACCTTAAAATCTTAAGTCGATATATCACAGGTACTTGTGTGCTGGTGTTTGCAGCTGCTGTTCATATAGCCAGGAAATGGAACCAGCCTAGATGCCCATCAACAGATGAGTGAATACAGGAATTTCATGTATAAAGGAAAAGTTAAAATTATGACAGCAGGAAAATGGATGGAACTAGAAATTATGTTAATTAAAATAAGCCAGTCTCAGAAAGACAAATGTGTTCTCTCATATGTTGAACCTATTTAAAATTATATATAGCAGTGTGTGTGTGTGTGTGTGTGTGTGTGTGTGTGTGTATTTACATGTGTGTTTGTAGATCATGAAACTAGAAAGAAAATCATGAATGAGGAGGAAAGGAGAGCATAGAGACGGTGATGGAGTGCATGTAATTGAAAAGTAGACCAACAGCAGGCAGAAAGGAGACCCATGGGAAGACAGGAGGGTCTGTGAGAGTGGAGAGTGGGGGAGGAGATGATAGAGAACAAAGTGTTAAGGTAATTATATGTGAAGATGCCATGATGAAACCCAGTGCTTTGTATTCTAACTTAAAATATGAAAAAACAAAAACAAAACAGTAGGTAATGGGCCTTACCTCCAAGCCCAATGACTTCCAACCACTGAACCCTCTGGGCAGAAGGAGACAACTGACTACCTAGGTCGTCCTCTGATCTCTACACGTGCAGTCAGCTTCATGTCTGTAACCTTAGTAATGAGGAGGCTGAGGCAGAATTGCCACGAGTTCAAGACCAGGATGGGCTACAGTGTGAGGTTCAGATTAGTCTGGGCCACACATTGAGACCCTATCTCAAAACAGAACAAACAACAGCAGCAGCAGCAACACACACACACACACACACACACACACACACACATACACACATACACACACACATACACACACATACACACACACACACACACACACACACCTTGATTGCCACTACTAGCCTTAATAGCCACTACTTAGACCTGTTCTACAGGAGCAGCCATGGACAACTTATT